GCCACGCCTATATCGCCACCACCCGTCAGGTTGGTTTGTGCATCCAGCGTATAACTGCCCGATAGCATCCCAAACGTGGTACGCATATGCGCAGGTGCCTCTGCTACCACACCGCTATTTATCGACTGGTCCATATTGCCCGCACTACCCATCAGCATCCAGGTCTTGGTGCTGTAGTTGATGTTTAGCTGTAAGAGGTTGCTGCCATAGCTGCTGGTATCCATCGTAGAAGTACTCTTGTTATAGATGGCCGAAAAACGCCAGGAGCGGCCACCCGTCTGCTTCCATTGATAGTTGGCACGACCTGTCCATACCGAGCCTGGTTAGTGGTCGTTGCGGGATAGCCAGCGTATCATTATAACTGCGGAAGGTGGTATAAGGCTTATAAGACAAGGCTACCGAAGGATAACGTTTTGAATGCGTGCCGATCTCAAAACCCCAGCGGCTATTATTGCCCGTGGTACTAAAGCTTTGCTGGCGGATATGATTATACTCCACGCCAAGTGTCAGGAAGGAGCGGAAGAACGTGCCTTTGGAGCCTAGTTTTAAGAGGTCGGTACCGCTTAGGTTGACCGGTAAGGTGCTGTTTTTAAAGTCGCGGCCCGCCATGCTCATAACCTGCCGTTACCTGGATGCCCGTCCTGGGGATCTGCCCTTCGGCCTGCGCCCGCCAGGCAATCTTGTCGTTGTTCAGTTGCTCTTTGAGCTGGCCGTCTCCATTGCGCAGCGAGGTGGCTACTTCCCCATCCAGTTTGATATACTGCCCGATCGTTCCTTCATACGATGCCGATACAATATGCACCGGTTCGCGGAACGAAGGCAGGGCCAGGTCCATATTTTTGAAAAAGGTATCCTGCGATAAGGTCCGGCCCGACGGCATATAACCATAGTAGACCAGGCTTACTTTTTGTTCTTTTAGTGGAGTAAATAAAACCCGGCCCGAGTATGCGGTGTACTTATCCAGGCTGCCATCCCGACCAGCAAATTCGGTGCTGCCATACGTAGCCCCTACCTGGCAGAAGCCCAGGTCGTAACCCACGTCCAGCCCTTTAAGCTGCTGGCCGGACAGCGTATAACGTGATACTTCTTTGGGGAATATCCCTAAGTCCAGGTTGGTCAGTCCCGTGGCAAAACGTTTCACTTTGCCTTCCGGTAACAGGCCCGAGGCTTTACGTGCCAGTTGCTTGTAAGTAGCGCCGTCGGCGTGTTCCAGGTCTTGCAGCTGCGCATAACCAAGGGTAGAATCAAAATAATTGGTATTACGGTATTGGGCTACCAGGCCGGCGTATTTACGGGCCTGTTGTTCGAGCGTTACCAGGCGCTCGTATTGCTGTAAGGCTTTTTGGTAGATGCGGGTGGCCGAATCGGCCAGGCGGGTGGCACGCTCCTGCGCCCTGCGGGCGTTGCTTACGACCTGGCTGCTATCGGCGCCCGTGCTGTCGATGACCGTTGCTTGGAGTTTGGAAAGGATCTGTTGTTGCAGGCCGGTGGTATCCAGCAGGCTGGTGTTGATGTCGCTCAGGCCCGTTTCTTTTTTGAGTCCGGCCAGGGTGTTTGCCTTTTCCTGGTTCAGCCGGTCCAGGTAACTGCCATATACTTGTTCCAGTCCCTTGCCTTTAGACAGGGTTTGCGAAAAGCGGTTTTTAAAGCCGCCGACCAGGCCCAGCAATTCTTCTTTGGCTTTGTCGGCATCATAATGCAGGCGGATGTAACTGCCCTTGATCGGGCGGTTGCGGTCTTGCGTGGTATAATACCCTTCGATGCTCACCGGCAGGTCGTGGATCTTGGTTTCTACACGGCCTCTGAGTTCATAATAGTTGTTCTCCTGCTGGCTGTACTCCGGTTGGGCATTGCCCCAATTGCCCGTCAGGCCCAGCTCGCCGCTCAGTTCTTTTTCTTCTTTCTTCTGGCTGGTCAGCTCCCTGACTTGGGATAGTAATGACCGGTAACCTTCCAGCTCTGTA